CTATCTTCCAAAAGGCAAGAACAATTAGAAAATGGCATATGTCTTGCATTTGTTTGCGTGGGTATCTCATTTAATATAGCCAAAAATGAAATTTTTCGCACGTGGCTTCAAGATCTTAGACCAGGTTTTAAAATACCTAGTTCTAAAACACTTATAGGAAAAATTTTTAACAAGCAAATTATTCAGGTGGAAGCAAAAATAGAAAGTGAAATACGAAATAAAAATTATATTACACTTGGTATTTAATATTATTAAAGTTTACTTTTAACAATTTAAATAAATAATAATATTTTTATTTTATTTTTTTTATAGCACTTGACAGGTGGACAGATCCATGAGGCAGATCAATTTGGAACTTTTTGCTCTTGACACCTGATCGCAAAGAGTATTTATATGCCTTGTATAACTATTCAAATATACATCATACAGTAGAATTTCTTTTACAAGAAATTGAAACAGTAGTTACTCAACTTGGAGTTGAGAAAATTTGTACAGTAGTTAGTGATAATGGCATGAATGTTGCAGCGACACAGTGACTAATTATACAAAAATTTCTTCATATTGTAAATATGTCATATATAGCCCATCGGCTAAATCTTATTTGTAAAGATCTTATGAAAGAATCTTTTTCAAAACGTGTTTTATCTCAAGCAATATTAGTTGCTTAATTTTTTAGATCATCTCATATAGCTAATTCAGCACTTGAGAATGAAATTCAAATTAATAATATTGTAAGTGGGGTATCAAATGATATATAGCAACTCGTTGGTTAAGTTATTATGATTCGATTTATTCAATATTACATTTGAAGGTTGCATTTATTCAAGTAAGTTCTATATATTTATGTTGACAATTTATTTTATTATAGCAAACTTTTGATATAGTAAAAAAAAATTTTTTTATCTAACTTTGCTGCATATTTACAAAAAGATTTTAGAACATGATCTGGATATTATTACAAATAATGAAGTATATTCGATTTTAAACAGAGGATCATTTTATAATGATATAAACTTTATAACTACTATTCTACGACCTATTAAAGAATCCATTGTTTAACTTGAAAGTTGGGATTCAACACTAGCAGATTGTTTTATTCATTTAATCAAATTAGTATCTACGATCTATCAAATACCTCAAGATCAACATGTTACATTTTGAAGGCATTGTGTTACTTCTATTAATAGGTGACTATTGGAGTTTAATAATGATATATATTATTTGGTATATTTCTTGCATCCGAAATTTAAAGATAAATTATATATACTTTATATTTATTAAATTTTTTTTTACTCTCTATTGTTCTGAAAAGCGCTAATATTCTATCATGTATATAAGGTCACGGTTTTAAAAAAGGTCAATACAAAAAAATTTCAAGATTTGCGGGTACTTTGTGGAAGGCTTTTGGTAATAGTGAAAGCTCTTGCTGACAAATTTTAGGGCAACTTGCTTCTTATAAACTAAATGAGCCACCTTTTAATGAACTATTCGAACCTGATTGCCAAACGCTACAGATATGGTAGAAAATAATTAAAGATGTTTATGATCATCTTCCTACTTTGGCGGTTAAACTCCTTAATATTACTCCATACTCTGCTTCTTGTAAAAGAGTTTTTTCAACTCTAGGATGGATTTATAGAAAAAAAAGAATCAGATTGGCATTTGAAAAAGTAGAAGCATTAGCAAAGATTCATCAATACTATACAACACATGCGAAAGAAAAAATTTCTTATATTAATCATGAACTTACTTTAGAAAATGTGTTGGCTATAGCAAATGAAATTGGTGAGTTAGATGATAATAATTCAGATGAAGGTTCTAGTAAGAATAATGATGATGATGAATCTGAATTTGAATCATTAGATAAAATATTGGATTTGGAAGAAATTTTTGATTTAAATCATAAAATTTTTAGAAAAAACGTTTAAAATAATAATATTAGATCAGATTCTGAGCATGTAGCTGAAGAAAAACCAAATTATAATTATGATATAGATAATTTGGTTGATGAAGTTTTTGCATAACAAAAAAAATTTCGGGTTAGATAGTATACTGTCTAAAATAGACTATTACATAAATGTATTGTGTCTAAATTCTTTTTTTGAATATGGTTTATCAATAAATAAGATTGATTAGTCTGGTTTATCTTCAATAAGATGATAGTGAGTAATGCCAAGCGAAAGCTTATAGTATTTACAATTAGAGATGATGATCGATCAAATTTTCTTTATTTTCATATAATCGATTATTTTTTTTATATCTTTAGAATATAGTGATACTCTATATTAATTTAATAATTATTGCATTTGATTTTTCATCAGGTAATATAAAGTTAATTAATTGTTTCTCATAACCCAGCCAGGTCTGCTTTTGTAAGTTTTTGATACAAAATTTTATAAGTTATTTATTATAAATACTTCTGAGTGGGTTTTTAAGAAAACTTTTTATATGTTTTAATATTTTTTAAACAAGAAAAAAAATTAAGTGTAGAGATGGGTTTCATGTGTGCGCATGAATTCTTAATTGTGCACATTCATACGCATGTTTCAGAATCATGCGCATTTTATCCCATCTAAATTTTATATAGAAAATTTAAAACATATATAATTTAGGCAAGGTAAAGTATTGTCAGGCAAAATTAAGGAATATGGATATAAAAGTCCTGAAAAGAAAATTAATGAATATAAAAGAAGAGCAAAATTAGGGTTAAAATTTGAGCACATATCCAATATTTTTCGAAAAGAAAATATAAAATTCCAAAAATAATATTATGCGATATTATGCACATTTTATATAACATGTGCATTAATGCACATTCTTGTGCATGTTATTATAAAATACGCATTTTTCTCATCACTAATCGGGCGGGTGAGTCACTTTTAGAATTCTATGTTATAAGAAACAATTATTTAATTTTTTATAGCCTCATCTCTATATGAATTGTAATGTGGTGTAATAATTTTTTTTTATTAAATTTAAACCTTAATCCTGTAAGTATTATCTATATCTCAGGCTATATTAAACTATAACTGAAAGGTTATAGAGAGTTTTTACTGTAGAGATCAATTGCGAATATATAAATTGCTAATAGGCTTAAAATGAAATTCGATATACATTGTATGGTACAGAAACTTCATTTCTGCCTATACCCAACAGCTTATATAGTACTTATATATATAAAGCAAAACTAATTACTGTATGCCATTGCTTACAGTACCCAGAGTCTTATTTAAAAATTTCATTTTTTTGTGTTGTTATAAACTAGTCGAATAATCTTGCCAAAAAGCCATAGTACTCATGGAATAATATATTATTTCTATATATAGTAAATAATATTATATGTAGTAAATAATATTATATGTAGTAAATAATTTTTTTTTTTTTTTTTTTTTAATATTAAGGTGACCACTTAGGCCTCTAGCACTTGGCTTTATTTAGATAAATATAATATTATATTCATTTTCACAAGAATACAACTAGCCACACATATACTTTTGGTATCTAATTTAAGTAGTCTGTCTGGGTTCTACATTAGCCGCCATACCTGCAACCTAACTAGGAGATTACCTATTTAAGCTCTCTGATTATTGACTAACGAGAGTACAACTAGCTATACATGCAACTTTTGGTTGCCTATTTAAGTCAGTGATGTACATGGACATATGTCCAAGCCAAATCATTGGACATGGACGTCCATGGACAATGTCCAATGTCTATGTCCACATGATCATCCTGCGTAAGTAATGTACATGGACATATGTCCATGGACATGTCTATAGACAATGTCCAATATCCAAGTATGTTATTGGCTGATCAGCAAGAAATCTAATCGGTTAAAAAAAATTTTTGCTATAAAAATTCCTAATGTTTTAAATTTCTCACCATACTATAAAAAGCCTATTCACTAAAAATTCATGTTCTAATTAGTTATAATTCCGCTAATGTCTACTCTTGCCCCACCCCTAATCAAATTCACTATTTAAATTTTGATCATATGCAAATTTTAAGACGTACAACATATTTGAGTTAATATTCATGTTTATTGACAGCAATGCTGTTGATTATATGGATTGATTTTATTAATTCCTAAACGTATAGCATTTTATTATTATAGCCTTAGACTGTCCAGGTCTATTGACAATACTAACTTTAGGATTTTAGTACATTTTCGGATTAGATAATTATGATAATACGGGCTATGAGAAGCAGATATAATACTGCATAACTATTTGTTGTTTGTCCATGGACATGGACATAGCTTTTAGCTTGTCCATGGATATGGACATCCATGTTCATGTCCATGTCCACGGACAACACTGTATATACTGTGTATTAGTTATATATATATATCATGTCATCAGAGCTTGAATTATTAAGACAGCGTATTAGCGAACTTGAAGCTAAGAACGCCAAGCTTGAGATTGAGAAAGCTAAGATTGAGGCCAGGAATGCTGAGCTTCTCAAGCAGGTTATGGAGAAAGGTGCCAAGCATGATGCTGAGAATACTGAACTCAAGTCTAGAGTCAGGGAGCTCGAAGCCAGGCTCACAATATTGGAACAAGGTGTCACTGAAGTAACTAGACAACCACAGAATGATAAGGAAGTGATAGCAGAGGTGCAGTTATCTACAGATAATCCAGTATCAACTGTTGATGTATTCGACTCTATAAAAGACCAGCAAAATAGTGTCAACACCAAGGTAATTGAGAATAAGAAAATAAATGATTTCTATCCTGAAGAACCTGCCAATATACCTTACTATGTTATGACTCAGCTCAAGTGGTGTAAGCCTGATCACAAAGTCAATGATGTAGTGCTAGAAGTACCTGTCAGCTTCATGATATTAGAAGAAAAGAAGATAGACTTTTTTCTGGATAAAGTAAATAAGAAAAAGGTTAGCAATGAGATTAGGCAATACAATAGGGAGAAGAAACTACTGCATAAATCGGCTAATCAGGAGATTTTTCTGAATATTTCTTCTATGAAAACTGTCACAGATCATGACGATCGGTGCAGTCTGGAAAATTCAGAAAAAAAATGGAAACTCCATCACGAATTGTGACGATCAGCAAAAAATTATTCCAGTCACAGCAGATGATGATGATGATGTCACTAAGCTTAGTAAAAATCAAAATATAGAACAAGAATTAACAAAGGAGTTGCTCAGTGGTAGCATTACTGTCCCATCACTCTCCTCTAAAACTACAAAACATCTGTCATCATCTCTAGTTACAACACAGAGCTTAGTTCATTTATTCCAGAATACAATACAAGCTGGACATGAAAAGATCTTATCTTGGCTCTATTATTCAAATAGTTTTGAAAATAAAGTTGATGAAATTCGCTATGATACTGGAGTTTCAGACAAAATGGCTAGATCTCAATTATACAAAGAAATACTAGAGCATTTACCTGGCATTACATCAGGAAACTTGCGTATGAAAACCCTAAGAGCCAAAAAAATCTATATGTTATACAGAGAAGGTGGAGTGGGAATAGATAAAGTTAAGAAAGTTACTCTTAGTGTTTATGCCATCTCAAGTCTTACTATTAGTCAAATTCAAAGTGTCATCAAGAATATAACTTCAGTAGAACCATTAAAGAGGACACCAGATCACAATCATGCGACTTCCGTCACGAATTGTGATAATCAGAGTCATCGGACTAACACATCTAAGGTACGGACATCGTTATCTGCATCTCAATCTTATGATTGATCCTATTTTTATAGCAAAACATTGGATCAATATCCTAACTTATATAGAGAATTTAGTAGTGAAGGCTTCAATTATTATGGCATTACTGATAAGACATCATGCCCATTATGCAAGTTAAATCATAATGATGAAGAAAGTATAGAGAGTAGATATAAATCTGGATCTTACTTTATTAAATATGAACAGCACGAAATTGAGATAACTGCATAATCTTATTATTTTACAATACTATATTTGCTCACACTTCATTGTGATATTTTTTTACAGAGCTAATTTATGTAAACTATACTTACTATAATTTAAATTGATTTGCAATTATATAAAAAGGCAATATGAGCAAGTCTGATAAAGAATTAACCCCTGAGTATCTGGATTGGCATGCCAAGTTAAGTGGGTTACCAAGCATTTTGACAGATAAGATTCATTCCAATTTATACAAAAAATATAAAAAAGAAACTGGACATGAGCCATGGCAATTATCAAAAGCTGTGATAGTGTCAGCAAGACCTCAAGCCCCTAATTTTAAGCCTATCACTTACAAAGTTAAACCTGGTCCAGAATTAATTATCAAATCTGACTTAAAATATTTTACATATTTGAAATTTCGAAATAGTTTTAGGGAAATTGATAATTATAGTTTTGTATTATCTTAGCTGGTGGACAAATTTTGTATTAGTTTTAAAAGTTATCAGATTTGAAAACAATAGCAAACTATTAGTTTATATAAAAGGAACAAACTTGGTGGATTAATTTTTTATCAGATTTGACAGGTTATTGGCTTTGACAAGATCAGTTTTGAGAGGGTCAACTGTATTTAAAATATTTTATTTTTAATATTTTTTAGCATTATTCACAATATTGCAAATATTATTTGCATATTACTTGGCAATAATGTTTGCAGCATTCAGAGACCTATTAATAAGTATTTTCAAACATGATATCATAAAGAATTTTTTTATTAAAAAAATTAAATATAATAAATTCTAGAAATTATAAATATAAAGAAAATTATATTTTTTTATACA